TCAAGCAACACAAATACTTGGCGATTTTAGTGTTTTTCTTCGTTTATTTACAAGAAAAAGTATTGCTTCAGGTGGTTATTTAATACTTGTTTTCAAAACAAACATAAAACCAAGTAAAAAGTGTTAAATTAAACCGGCAAGACTTGTTTCACTTCATCCCGGTAAGCGGGCTGGCGTGTTCATATGGAAAATTTTTCATCCCGCCTACCTATGATCTCGGCAAATTCAAACGAGATCTCGGCAAGCGGGCCAGCTCGCTTTCCCATATGAACACAATGCAAAATTTTATAGGAAAATAGATAGGCGGCGAGATCATCGGTAAGCGAGACGTCCCGGTAAGCGGGATCATATGAACAGGCCCTAAATAGCTGTTGCTCCAAAATAGACCGTGTCCTCATCATGCCACGACCATGAATGGAATGCGCTATTAAAATATGAATGCTGGCATGCAGATGTGTACAAAATCAAAGGTCAATTTTGAGTCTGAAAACTATCAGTAAATTTTGTTTTTTTTATTGAAACCAGATATTCTGACGTTTTCGATGCGGGGGAATTTCAGACCAGAGAATTCTTTCACTCTTTCTTATGGAATGTGAATTTTATTCACGCAGCGTATTGTATTCCGACATGCGTATTTATGTGTATTTTGACAACGTTGATATAACCACTATGATATAACCAATAGATATCTTGATAACCACATCAATCAATCAATCTCTTTATTTAAACATGATATGATAAACAAAATTTTGTTTTTTATTGGAAGCAGATCTTCCGACGTTTTCGATGCGGGGGAGTTTCAGACCGGTGAATGCGCGCTCGTCCTTGGTTGCGGGCGTGCGCCTAAAGGCGTGCGTCTTTATCGGGCTTGCAGTGCACGCGCTGATCTATATATTACCGATATTTAAATTTGATCTATATAGAGGAGCCTGCGGAGGAGGCAGCACCCAGCGTATTGTATTCCGACATGCTTATTTATGTGTATTTTGACAACGTTGATAAGTCCATCAATCAATCAATCTCTTTATTTAACTGCATGATAATAACAACATGAGCTCCACCTTTGAATTTACTATACGAGTAAATTCTTAATTCTTCAACACGTCCGAATTTATCATTATGATAAATTCGCGGCACATTTTGAATTTATCAACAGAGTTAATCATAAAACCACAAGCATTATACAAGACTTCCTGTTATAATGATAAGCAATTCAATAATTACTCGCTGGGGCACTGTGCCCAGGCGAGTATAGGTTTCGGCGTGCATTTTTGGCGGATCGGCAATAGTGGATCTCTGATCTCCAATCGTCGTCGATAGCCAGAGGATATATAATAGAAATTTAAAAAACAAAACAAGTTAAACTCACTTCTGTGTCCCAATCACAACTCCAACACTCTCTTATCATCCAGTCTGGTTAGCAATTTTACACGAGATCTGTCTCTTTTAACCGCATGCAAACTATAAAACGCGTCAGCTCAATGCGAACAGCTACTTCATCTAACTGCAAATGTACTGTCTCGTAAGTTCAACACAACAATATGGTAGTGTTGCCGGAAAGCATTAAGGACAGCTAACCATACAAGATCATTGCCAGCTCTCGTTCACTCTAAGGTCTTACGGTTCTTTCAAATCAATAGTAATAAAAAAAATTTCCGACAATTAGATAAAAAAACCACCCTTACGACTAAAAGTGATAAACATAAACAACTGTAAATTAGTCAAATTTATAATTAATATGTTCTCTATTATCTTACTATAGATTTCACTAATTTTGTAATTAATTACGTATCTTACTATATTGTATCTTTATTCCATGTATCGTAGCTATATTAGTCGCAATTCTACCTCTTTGAAAACCACTTGAACCGGCACCAAAAGCATATTTTAAGCTAGGGGTCTTAAGTAAAAGCCTTATAATTCTAGATCCCTTAGCCCACTTGTAAATACTTTATTTTCAGATTATTTCGTTAATGTAATTTTTTATGGGGGGAATAAAAAAAAACTCTCATGCTCGTTTTATCCGGGCTTATATGCTATATAACATGTAGCTCATCATATGCTTTACTGTTGAAATTATAAAATATTCGGAAAACGATCATTTTTAGTTCGTGGTAACTAGTACCTGAGTTCTTTGTTTCCTTACTGAATCGAATATGTTATATCGTTAGCATCTAGAAGAAATTGTTTCAGCTTATTTTCAGGGTGGCCTATTATCGAGTTGAACAGTCTTTAGACTTTTGCCAGCTGTAGTTTGGTGAGAAAGTCATGACGTTCCTACACAAATGTACATTGTTTTCCCGATGTGCCGGGCAACAAAAATATAATCTTTCTTTGTTGAAACATGCAAAATCAATATTAATGCGTGCATGGATATCAGTAAGTGTAACCCGAAATTGTCCAAGTAGCCCACGCGTCCTTATAATTACGTAATTATTTTCACCTCGTAACATTGTATCTTGACGAAAACAAAATAATTACATGTGATGGACAAGTATTCTATAATCTCGCCCTTCTTATAGAACGATTGTGTGAATAAATGTCTATCGATGTCGAATCCGAAGGACGAGTGCAATTTGAAGTCTTTGAAAAACTCATGAGTTTTTCCAAATTGCACGAGAAACCATGCTATATTATATTTACATGAATAAAATACATGAAAAAATTATGTACTCACATGCGTATACGTAGGTCACATGCGAAATAATTTAATAGAAAATCTACTAAAAACGCCAGCCATTTTTGTCACTTGTAAAATGTAAATTGCTGTGCTGAGTGGTTTATATTACTACCTGAAGAAAAAAAGCAGAAACTTGACGTTTCGAGCGAAGGCCCTTCGTCAAGAGTTATTATAACTTTTAGTAGCAGGGATCGGTAAAAATGCACGGGCTTTTATACTAAGAGTATGAAAGCATACGTGACAGTAATACGTGACAGAAAAATAATATTTTTTTTCAATTGTTGAAATAAGTTGATATTTATACAGCCATGAAAGGGGTTATGTATCATACTAATTCCTCTCGGTCATTTACACTCAGGGAAAGGAAAGGAAAGGAAAGCATTAGCGACTTCTACTGTAAACGTAACCGCTATTCATCAATAAGGCGCGTGACTATGGTTCATGAGTGGACCTCCGTCACCTCTCAAAATCCCAATTTAAAGGCCTGAGGGATACGGCAATATATTTTTTTATTATTTCAATTGGAAGATCTTTTAAAATTATATATTAATCTCCTTTACCGATTTTGCGTAACTTTATTATTTCTTGAGATATTTGAACAGAAAAAATCACAAATCAGCGAGCTTTCCGCCATTTTGGATTTTGGCGGATATGCATGTGACATCATAAGCAGGCTCACGCAAGAATTTTATCCATATAGAGCAATTGGTTACTATGAGCCCAAAATCATATACTTCAGTAACTATTTGAAATAAAAAACTGTCTGACGACTTTTCAAACAAGACAAAATGTTATTTGGTCATTTAGATGTAGTTTTATATGGCTAACCCTGCTTAGGACGTCACTAAAATCACCGATAATGAGATAAAAAATAATCCTAGATGGCGGACAGCAAATTATTTTAAGTCAAAATATTTCAAGAAAGAATAAAGTTACGCAAAATCGGTAAAGGAGATTAACATATAATTTTAAAAGTTCTTTAAAATGAAATAATAAAAAAATATATTGCCGTACCCTTTAAGAAAGGTTTCAATTTAAAAAAAAGAAAGATTTCAATTTTCAATCTTTAAGAAGGATTACAATTTTCAAATAAGCAAGATTTCAATTTTCAAAACATGTATTTGGAAGATCGTTTGATAGCTACAATGTCAATAAGCTTTGAAGCAATTTATGTTTGAAGACTATGATCAGAAAAATTGATTTACTATGAGAAATTGTAAAATATCAGAAGGCCTTCTGATATTTTACAATTTCTCATTTCACAAACTTGCCAAGTTTGTTTTAAATGTTTAATAATGTTTATGAATTTTGTTGCTAAAATTTTTTTACCTAAGGCTAAAACATGCATTGCTTTCCTTTTCAATGAGCTGTAAGTTTCTTAAATTGTCCTGTTTATTTTACGAAATGTAAAGGAGAGCAAATTAACAAGTGAAGACCGAACTGAAATTACTCAACAATGTGAACTTATTTTGTTGTATTATATAAAAACAGTTAACGTTTATCGGCAAAAACAGTTTTTAGTATTAATAGCTGAATGAACATTAATTTCAAAACATTTTATGAAGCGATTCCGCCATTAAATTTTAACAAGACTAGGGTCACTAAATCAAGGTCACTAAATCAAAGGCAAAGCTCACAAAATGCAAAACAACATACCTATAGTACATATTTCGGAAATTCGTTGTTGTATGTAGTTGAAAGTACTAATCTTTCAACTACTTTGCCGTTTTGTACAAAAATATTTTAAAAAATAAAATGTAAAAATACCGTGTTGTCATGGCAACACTTGATACCACAACGCGATCCTGCGTTCAGTACTGGCTAATTACCAATATTTCATGTTAAATAAATAAATGTTTGGAAAACATAGGCGAGGGAATGCTGCATGCATTTCTAGTAAGAAATGTGTTTAATTAAAATTATACAAACAGCGCACCTCTTTATAATAACTACGTAACTTACTTCACTTCGTATCATCGTATCAGTGACAAATATATCTTACGCAACTTTTTACAATAACACGTCTTTATAATCATTACATAATTGTTTTCAATTCATACCAACGTATCACGCATACGCCAACAAAAAAGTTATAAAAGTCCGTGGACCAATATTCTATCATTCAGTTACTCTTATATCATTCTCATAAGGCTAGCGCTTCTGACTGACAAAAATGGAATTGGAACAACCCGTCGGACAACCAAATAGTAACTCATCAAATAAACCGGAAAGAAAGCATATAAAAATTGCCTGTTTTGCAGTCAATCTAACAGTAGCTAACATATTTTTTGCGTTCTTGTCAATTGCCTGTAGGGTCGGAATGAACGTTACTTTGCCTCTGTGGGTTGACTCGACAATAGTAACGCCTTCAGGAAGACATTCAAACTATGGCAACCACACCACCAATGGACCTGGTCATGATCAGTTTTTTAACCAAATCAATTCCTCCATGGAAGATAACAGAAAATACATGCCTCAAGTCGATGCGTACTTTGTCTTATCATTTGGGTCCATAGCATTCGTTGTCACGTTTGGAACGGCACTGCTTTTTATTCGGTTGTTTCAACCACATCAGCTCGGCGACACAGAACGAACGTTTCCGCACTTGCAGTTTTTCTTAGCTGGCTTCCTCAATGCACTGGCTGGAGTTTTTATCGTGTTTGCCAGCAGCGGAAGACGGACAGCACCGTACCTGCAAGCGATTTTAGGCAATGCCATGATTCCTCTTATTATAACGCTTCGGTAAGTGAAGAAGACGTGACTATTAAAATTTAATTTACTTGAACTTTAACTGATGCGTTATCCTTTCGTGCCGAATTAATTATTAAACTAAAGTCAGCAACTAGCCTTAAATCAGTTGAATGACAATAAAATCAATGACATTATTCTTCGCTATTATTATTATTAAGTGATATTATGATTGCTGATTATGGCTATGCATGATATGGTTACTGCATGGTTATCGTATTGTAATGCATTTATTACAGTCACCAAGCCCCTCCCCCTGTATATATAATATTAGTAACAATTTCTCGTTTTCCCACTATTTCCACTCGTGTTGATATAACTGTTATCAACACGGAAAAAATGTTTTATATCTTTTTTTATAATTTAGCATGACTTTCGGTCGCCCGATATTGAAGTCTCAACTTAATATTTTGCCACATTGGGCTCAAAAGAATTCAATAAGTTATATTTATTTATCACGTAAACTTAGTTTTGACAGATGCTTTCTAGAAAATCTAATCAAATAAATCGTAGCTATGTATAGTTTCCGCAAAAACGCACGCGGAATTAATTAAACAATCAGTTCGCTTCATTGTCATGCACAGTTATTTTCGTGCAGTAATGTGCATAGGCATATTCATGAGATGGGGGGATAGAAAACCATAGAAATTCGGGCAAATTCTAGGAAAAATCGTGAAAATTGGGGCAGATTTATCAGAAAGTATGTTAAATTCAGGTTATTTCATTACAATCTTCCATAAAAATGTGAGCCCCGTATACGCATGTGGATTAATGTGGATTCCTTATGTAGTAGGATGGTCCTTACTGGACGTCTAGTTTAGACATAATTTGTACTAGATCACACACTGTATGTGTTCTTTCTAATTTAGATATTTGATACTCCGTAAAGTGCCAACTCTTCGGCAATTCATCTGTGCTATGATCGTCTTGCTTTCACTGTTCATTTGCCTCATTCCCAAGATATTCACTTCTATTGATCCTGAAGCAGACAGTTCTGGTGGAGCTAGAGGGGTTGCAGGGATCGTGTGGCCGCTGTGTTTTATGCTTGGTTCTGTAAGTATAGACTATAGGGAAGACATTTTAATTGGCGGGATTACGAGCTCTAGAGGGCACAGATAAAGTAGACTTGGCACGGCTGATTTTTCTCGGAAATAATTCTCGTAGACTTTTGACAAAGAAAAGATACATGAACATCCTAGCACACTGCTATATATCTATATATCTATTTAAAAGAATTAAGTGATCTTGTTACATGACAACCACTTCAAATACTTCATATTTGGAAACTATAGTGGTTTTTCTGGAAAGGCGAGAAGTTTCTGCATGCATGTATTTCTAGTCCCCAAGCCAACGGCACGGAGCGCTGTTTCCGGGCGTAAGCCCGGATCGAAGGTAGTTTTTCAAAGACCTCAAATAGCACTCGTCCTTCGGACTCAAATAGCACTCGTGCTATTTTGAGGTCTTTGAAAAACTCATCGATCACTCGTAAATGTTATATCCAAATTGCAATAATGATAATGGCTTTAATATAGATATTAATCACCACGTTACACGGGTCTTCAATCTATCTACGACTACAGCTAATAGAATGAAATTGACTCAATTAAATTAAGTCATATAAAATTATTAGAATAATATTAAAGTTAATTAATTATCATAATTAATGATAATTAATTAATTAACTTTAATATTATTGCAATATTCGTCTAATTTTCCTTTAAAATACATGGAGAAGCCCTCTTCGTAAACTCAGCGTTCTTCTGAATGTTCAAAAGTAACACAAGTGTTTGGGACTACTATAGGAGTATGGCGACATGCCATTAGAGACCTTAAGATTGACGTTTACGGCAAACGTCAAACCGCTAGCGAAGTTTTTGATTTTACAACTCTATTATTATAGCTTTCACACCAGTTTTGAAATATGTTAAACTTATTAAACTTGTACTCTTTATCAATGATTTAAAGAAAGCAAATTAACCACTAGTCATGCCATTCACCAAAGCAGTAAATTAAGATTTGGCGTTTGAAGTTGACGTTTGG